GAAATTTAATTGTATGTCATCCTTGTACTACTATTAGTACAGAAAGTAAATGCATAGAAGAAAATCACTTCATGTGTATGTGATAAGAATAAATCTTTTGCATTTTTAAACTTGTTTTGTAGCTTTTTGCTTATCATGTAAACATCTTGGGACTCAGCTTCCTGATCTAGAAGTTCAGATCATGAATAACTGCAGTATCTGGTTCTCTGAAGACCAAATGAGAAAACTTTAATTCGGTATCATCAACAAAGAAGATGCAAGCTTATCAAACACTGGAACAGTATTGAAAACAATGGCTGAAAACTCAAATTAATGTATCTAAACCCTAAAATTTCATCTTTATTATTTAGAAATGTTTATTCACTCATTTTCATCTATTTGAATGTGAGGATGGGAGCTGATTATTCTCCAAATGCACTTAATAGATAGAATTGGGCCAGGTGAAAGTTGAGAACCCAAAATTCTATCTGGCTCAACTCTTGTGGCAGAGACACAAGAACTTGAGCCATCTCTGATGCCTCCCACAATGGTTTTCAGGAAGCTGGATCAGTAGCAGATTAGCCAGGACACAAACCTGCAACCCAGCAAGGGATGTGAGTATCCCAGGATGGAGCTTCACCCACTGTGCCATGGTGCCTTCCCTCCACCTTCATATTTAAAAGCTACTGGTTTACCAAGTTTACTTGTATGTCTGTACATATTCACAGGAGTCTCCTGTGACGATTTGGACGGAATCTATTAGGGTCTAAGTTTAGTTTGTGATAACACCGTTTCCAAGCTTAGCCATAGAATATATATAAAAAAAATGAAAGCTGTGGCAAATTTGGGGCTTTTAAATTGGGAACAGGATTCTTATTCAGATTTTCCTCTCCTTCAAATATTTCATGTTGGCTAAGATGCTACTCAACTTTCCTTCTAGGGGGCAGCACTGCCCTGAAATTTTGCCAGTATTCCTTCCTGTGTCCATAGGCCTATTTCACTTTCAGATCTGCTCTGAAGAAGTCCATATGTTACTTATGTGGTACTAGGCTTACTGATATCAGAAACAAGTAATATCCCAGCTAGTTGTTAGAAGAAAGGGTTGCTGGAGGACAGTGAAAAGGAAACTAATATTACAATATAGTGGTGGCACAGAGAAGAGAAGCTCTGGTCACACTATAGAATATAGAGTTCATTTTTACATCATATTTAACATGTTTTATTGCTATTAAAATCAAAGGCACTAGGGCTACATGTGTGTATTTACAGTCTAAAACCATGAAATATGAGATTATTTTAAATATGTGAGATATAAAATCAGTTGAACATCTCTCCCAAGAAGTATAAAAATTTGGGGAGGAAATAGTTTTAGCTTTGATTTGGACTTCTTGAAATTTCTTTTGTCAGGATTATGCTTTCAATTGATCATTTTTATTTTGAAATGGAAATTATGATCTTACAAACTGACTTGAAATATGGAAATCAGTTAAAAACTTTTGGCTCTTACAGTAGCCCTCTACTGGTTGAGATATTAGATCCTGGTAAACCCTGACAACAAGATTGCATGTGTGAAACTCAATTCTTATCTCACTTTAGTACATTAAATTACAGCTTTTATGACATCGAGCTTATTAAAATGTTTGTAACGTTTTCTTTTACAGTTTTGTATTATCTCTTTTATCACACCTGCTGGGCCCTGGTCCCAAACTCTGGGAATAAAGGGATTGAGTACCACGGGTACAATGACTCAAGTGACTTTCATCACCTAAGAGGAAATCTGTGGATCCATCAGTTGCTACTAAAAATTGTCTTTCCTTTCCAAACACTGTCATTATCTAGGAACATAACCACTTTATCTCTCATTTCAAATCGAGTCTTCTTTGTGAGGTACAATGTCCTGAGTTTTTATTTAAGTATATTTCATAAACATGGAAGGGGGGGAGAAAAAAATTGCCCAGTGCTCTAATGTTCTGGAATAGCCTCACTTACTGTAATCTTGCTTGACTGTCATTATTTTGCAAAATATAATGTATTGACATTTTTTATTTTCTCTAAAGGATATAAATAGACCAAATCAATTATATAGAATCTTAAATTTTGTACAAAGTTCTTACTCATCACTCCTAATTGCCAAATCTTAGAGCTATGAAAAAAACATTGATACTAGTCATAAAATGTGATCTGATATTATTTATCTACAACATATTCATTTTCAGCAGCTTTCTCCACTTAACATTTGGTTAAAATGTGCAATTATTACTGAAGAAATGTAAATATCTTTCAAACTCACTAACTGCTCTTTTCCCCCCCATATTTCCTTGCCTCTTAGTAAAAGATATTTCATGTGGTATTGATGAAATGCTAGTGACAGTTCTAAGATCAATTCAGAATGCCCTTCTAGGATCAACCATCAGACATGAAGTGTGAAATTCTGTCACACTGGCATGAATGACTGCTGCTATAATCACTGGCTCCTCTTTTATTAAGTTTTTCTAAAATTAATTAGATGTAAAGACTGTCATTGGCCTTATAAAAGTACTCATCTGCTGTGCTTTAATTTTAACTAGATTAAAAGTGAGATTTGGCGTTAATTAAAAACGTAGAATTTATGGGGATTTTAATTGCAAACATTTTGGTGGTAAGCATGGGTATGACTTCTTAGTTTAGTTCTGTTCGGTAATAAATACGGCATTGACTAATGACAGGAGAAAATTTATTTGAAAAAAATAACAGCAGCAGTAGCTTATTATCCTTGTAGGTCTTAATCCTGTCTAGCTGGGTCATATACAAGAGAGGTTCCCCAACTCAGGATCACTTTGAGAAGTTTTAGCCTTCTACACTGATGTCTGGAAATTTCTATTTTGAAAACGTGGATGAGATTGGGAAAACGTGGATAAATCATTGGGATTAAATTGTTCATTCATTAAACACATCATATTTGGTAAACATGATTTGATCTGCCTATCATTAAGTTGAATTTAGGATACAAAGGGTAACTGATGCCCAAGAGGATACACTCAAGGTTTCCTGTTTTATATTAATCAGAGCCTATTGCAAAAATGGGCTGTGGAAAACTGTAGCACAGATATTTCCCAATTAGCATTTTTGCATGTTCTTCTCTAGCATGAGTCAGGTTTAGCCATGTCACTCAGGGCTTTTAAAGAGCTCTATCTTTGCAGTCCAGGCTACATGTGACAAGATTAAATTGGCACACTTTACTTTATAGCTCTTGTGTTCCTGGCAGTGCAAATCTGGCTGATACCTCTGAGAGAAGGCTCAGCTGTCACTCAGTGACCCATTAACACTACATTCCATCCTGCAGTGTCATTTTTCTCATTCTTATGGAGATAATGCTCCCTGGAGATCTCCAATACCTGCAGGAATGAAAAAGAACAGCAGAGACAGGCTAACTATCAAAGAGGGAGCAAACAACACAGCAAGACCATGAATTCCAACAGGGGAATTTTAAGTTGAGGGAAAAGGATGAGGCCCATTATGATGGCTGTCGGTTTGGAAGGTAGGGAGAGGATCTGGTGTTAAGAGGTATCCTAACTTTTTAACAAGCTCTTTTCCCCTTCCTGCCTAAATATCAAAAGAAATATCCAAAATAACACATGCAACTAGATCTATAGAATGCAGGTGGTTTGAACAGGTAATAGGGAAATCTGGGTGAGACTTTATTAATTACAACTAGGCAATGGATACAAAATAGCTTTAATTAAAGTGTATTTCTTAATATTCTAAAGATGCCAGGATCCCCGTAAGGGTTGGCTTGTTGAAGTAAAAAAATAAATAAATAAATAAAAATTACCTTCTAGTCAAAGTGCAAAAGAGGAAAAAGGCATGTGATTTTTGTAGCCCTGAGGCTAAAGATTCTTCTGTCCTATGATTGAACTGTTACTGGGTGCCTAAGAAAATTCTATTGCCCACTTCCTGTCTGTTCTGTAGGAGTACATGGTTTCATGGCTCACTTGATAAGTTATGCTTGTAACAATTACCAGACAAAGTAGTATTTTAAGAATATGCTTCTGAACTACTCAGCCCAGACTAAGGTTGGTCCAATTTAGATAGTTATAAAAGCAAAAACAAAAACAAAAACAAAATTTGAAATCCATTGAAGACATCTTTAAGTATGTAAAATATTTTTTTAAGTGACTTAGGGTGCTGGCATTGTGGTGCAGTGTGTTCAGCTGTCACCTGTAATGTAGGCAACCCAGATGAACACCACTTTGAGTCCCAGCAGCTCCCACTTCTGACATAGCTTCCTGTTGGTGCACCTGAGAAAGCAGTGGAAGATGGCCCAAGTACTGCCACCCATGTGGGAGAACTGGATGGAGTTCCAGGCTCCTGGCTTCAGCCTGACTCAGCTCTGGCCATTGCAGCCATTTGGAGAGTGAGTCAGTAGATGGAAGATCTTTCTTTCCCTTCTAACTCTTCATTTCAAATAAACATTTTTAAAAAGGTGAATAAGAAAATATGAATAAAACTGGATATAGTTCAGAATTATTAAAAAGAATAAGGAAAGGTAGAGCATTGCAAAAATTTTTTTTACCCTTATCTGCATCTTCAACCCTTCCTCCACTTTTTTTCACAGGACACCAAGTGTTATTGGGGTTAGACTGTTTTGCTTAGGTTAGGGTTTGTGTACCTTGTCCCTGCTCACTTCAGGTGACACAGAAGCCATAGTATAGACATAGTTTATGCTTCTGGAGGCCATTTTTCTTGAATTAAATATTTGCAAAGTTGTCTATTTAAACTATAATTTACAGCTTTGTTTTTAAACAAATATGGCACATTGTAGAATAGGATAAAATATGCACAGGTATTTTAAAGAACAAAACCTAGAGTTTACATTAATATTGATAGGAAGGAGCAGCTTTGGCCTAAACTGTCAGGAATCTTAAGTTGTTCAAGGGTTGAGGTCAGTTCTCTGTCATTCTATACATGAGGTTGGAGCACACGAAGGAGCCGAAGCCTGCAGTCCTTTAGTAGGAAACTGGGATTCAGATTATGATGATTTAGTAGTGACTGTGCCGTTATTTAAGATCCAGGAGTAATCCAGCTAAGTCTTCCAGCAAAAAGTGCGACCGTTAGTCTGCGTTTGACAGTTGAAATACACCACAGTAATCGATCAGCCCAGGCTGTGTTGCCACGCGATGGCTGATTATGACGTCCGTTCCTCTGCGCACCGGAAGGAGATGTGAGAACACCGGAAGGAGAAAGACTCTGCGCCTGGCAGTTGGGCAGTCGTTGGGAACAGCTGCCGTTGCTTTTGGCGGTACCGCATGAGGGAGATGCTGGCTGCCTTTGTCTCCCGTGTGCTGTGGGGGGTGGCCAAGAAGCCAGCTCGCAGAGTGCTGGTGGCATCCTGTAACTATTCAAATGATGCCATGTTTGAAATTAAGAAATGTGATCTTTATTTGTTGGACGAGGGTCCTCCGCTGACTGCAGTGCTCACGAGAGAAGACGGGCTCAGATACTACAAGATGATGCAGGTTGTTCGGCGCATGGAATTGAAAGCCGATCAGTTGTATAAACAGAAATTTATTCGTGGTTTCTGCCATTTGTGTGATGGGCAGGAAGCTTGCTGTGTGGGGCTTGAGGCAGGTATAAACCCCTCGGATCACGTCATCACATCCTATCGGGCGCATGGCGTGTGCTACACTCGTGGACTCCCTGTCCGGTCAATCCTTGCAGAGCTGACAGGCAGAAGAGGAGGCTGTGCTAAAGGCAAGGGAGGATCGATGCATATGTATGCCAAGAACTTCTATGGGGGCAATGGCATTGTGGGTGCCCAAGTACCCCTGGGAGCTGGTGTCGCTCTGGCCTGTAAGTACATGGGAAACAACGAGATCTGCCTGACTTTATATGGGGATGGCGCAGCTAATCAGGGTCAGATAGCCGAAGCTTACAATATGGCAGCTTTATGGAAACTACCTTGTATTTTCATCTGTGAGAATAACCTCTATGGAATGGGGACATCGGTTGAGAGAGCAGCAGCCAGCACTGACTATTACAAGAGAGGCCATTTTATCCCTGGGCTAAGAGTGGATGGAATGGATATTCTGTGTGTTCGGGAGGCAACGAGGTTTGCAGCCAACTATTGTAGATCTGGAAAGGGGCCCATACTGATGGAGCTGCAGACCTACCGTTATCATGGACACAGTATGAGTGATCCTGGCATCAGTTACCGTAGCCGAGAAGAAATTCAAAAAGTAAGAAGCAAGAGTGATCCTATTATGCTTCTCCAAGATAGGATGGTGAACAGCAAGCTTGCCAGTGTGGAAGAATTAAAGGAAATCGACTCTGAAGTGAGGAAAGAAATCGAGGATGCAGCCCAGTTTGCTACAACTGATCCTGAACCCCCTGTAGAAGAATTGGGCCATCACCTCTACAGCAGTAATCCACCTTTTGAAGTTCGTGGTGCAAATCAGTGGATCAAGTTTAAGTCTGTTAGTTAAAGATTCTATATAAAGTCCCACAGTGGGGTACTTAGGGTCAACTGTAAGGAATTCTTGGTCTCAATTTTGTTGAGGAATAAAAACCTATAAAATGAAGGATTTGTAAACTTTATTTTCAAAGATCAAGAGTATTAGAGACTAAAATATGTACCATTGAAGGTGATATATTGCACTGAACATTTTTTAATTAAAAGATACTATGTAATTAAAAATTTAATGTGAATATCTTAAAGGTTAGCTTAAAATACTTAAAGGTTTCCTAAAATAGGAAAATGAATTAACTTCCTAAATTATTTGTAATACTTTCATTTGATTAAGTTTCTTGTTTTTAAAGTATTCTTGCTCTTAAAGAAAACATAGTTCTTTAAGAAAGAAATAAACAGTGTAAACATTCGTGCTTCCCCTGCCATATGTTTGGGTGTGGAGTCACTATCCTGAGGTACAGAGATAATTTCAAGCTGCTCAGGAGCCTTTTATTCCTGTCACTTGCAACTTTTAGTAAAACTATGTGTGTGTGCACACATAGGTGTTTCAATATTACAGCATTGATGTTAAATCTTATTAATGCTGTTTTTCCTATAATGCACAATATCTCACAGAGAAGGAGGAGAGAGGACAAGAACATTTTTTTCATATTAGGTTTCAGTATTTTTAGTTAACTAATTTAAGGAGAAATTGTAAATAAAATTAAAACCTACAGGTAAAGTTGCATTATTCAAGTTCAAGTTACTTTTATTTTATAAACCATTTATGCTACTACATGTCTGAGATTGTAGAGCCATCCTGGTAAACTGCAGATTGAAAAGTAAACCGAGATGGTGACATCAGAAGAGCTAATTGAATGAAATGACCCCAATAAAAATTGAAAGCAAAGTTTGTCCTTCCTTTAATTATAGTTATTAATATATTACTAACTACTGCATGATTAACTTATTTTTAATATGAATGATAATTCATAGATAACTTTCTCCCAGAGCTGGTCTTCTAACCAGTCTAATGCTTCATCAGTTAGCAAGTCATGACATGGTGAAACAGTTTTAGTTAGTTATATATGAATAATGATTCATAATAACGACTTCTTGTCATTAATGGCTCACCTATCTTACTTCACTGGATACACTTCAGAGGAATGAGGGATGAATAATCAGCTTGTAGGATATTTAGAAACAATCAGTTCAAGAGTAAAATTTATACTTTATAGGATCTACAAATAAAATGATTCTGAGAACTTTAACAATACCACAAGCTCAGTGACCTGTGAGTGCATGAACAAACATACTCCTCTGTATAAGCTTAATTTCCATATCTTCCCAAATGGGTCTAAATAATTTGATAACTTTTAACATTCTAAATTCACAAAGCAGAGATAAGCATACTCAAATAATATTAGTTAACATATTTGTGTTAGAACACTACGGATGTGGGTGGGCAGTTAGCCTAGTTAAGATGCTTACATCCCAAATTGGAGAATCTGAGATGGATTCCTACTTACTGCCTGCTGTTAACACAGTCCTTGGGATATATTGGTGGTTGCCTAAGTAACTGGGTTCCTGATACCCATATGGGTGAATTGGATTGCATTCCTAGCTCCTGGCTTTAGCCCAGCCCCAGACATTGTGGACCTTTGTCTATCTCTTTGCCTCTTTGTCTATCTCCCTGCCTCTCAAAAATACTGCAGCTGAAATAGAGGTATTTCTATTATATCCCATACCATTAATATTTTATAAGGTATTTAATAAATACATTATCCTAGTGACCAAGAGTTACTTCGTTAGACTGATATCTCCATTTACTTGTAAGAGGAAGACAGGCTACTCAAACTCATTTCCGTATATAATATATGCAAGAAGTTTTATGTTTATAGAATGGGTTTTTTGATGGCAGCAAAATGAAAATACAAATAGGAAGTATAAGCATCACTGAATCCAGATACATTAAACTTCATTTCAGGAAAGAAAATTATGGTGTTGTACATGGAAAAACCTAAACTCTCCACCAAAAAGTTGTCAGAATTTAATTAATTTGGGGCCAGCACTGTGGCATAGTGGGTAAAGCTGCTGTCTGCCATTCTGGCATCTCATATGGTAGCAGGGTCGAGACCCGTTCCACTTCTGATTCAGCTCTCTGCAATGGCCAGGGAGAGCAGTAGAGGAAGTCCTTGGTTCCCTATACCAACATGGAAGACCTGGAATAAGCTCCTGGCTTTGGATTGGCATAGCTCCGGCAGTTGCAGCCATCTGGGGAGTGAACCAGCAGGTGGAGGACCTCTCTCTCTCTCTCTCTCTCTCTCTCTGCCTCTTTGTAACTCTGCCTTTCAAAGAAATAAATCCTAAAAAATTGAATCAATTCACTAAAGTTACAGGTTGCAGAATAAACATACAAAAAGTAGCCTTTTTGTATGCTAATGATGAACTCAGATAAATCAAGAAAGAAATCCCATTCATGATAGCCACCAAAAAATCAAATATTTAGGAATAAATTTAACCAAACATTGATGAAATAATTAAGGACACACACACAAGAATTGAAAGATAGCCCTTGCTCATAGATCAGAAGAATCCTTATCATTGGGGCTGGCACCGTGGCATAGCAGGTAAAGCTGCCGCCCGCAGTGCTGGCATCCCATATGGGTGTTGGTTCGAGGCTTGGCTACTCCACTTCTGATCCAGCTCTCTGCTATGGCCTGGGAAAGCAGTGTAGGATGGCCCAAGTCCTTGTACCCAGGTGGGAGACCCAGAAGAATCTCCTGGCTTCAGACTGGTGCAGCTCCGGCTGTTGCATCCAATTAGGGAATGAACCAGCAGATGGAAGACCCTTCTCCCTCTCCCCTTCTCTGTGTAACTCTGACTTTAAAATAAATAAAATCTTTAAAAAAGAAAAAAGAATCCATATCATTAAAATGTCTATTCCTTAAAGCAATTTAAGATTCAATGTAATCTCTGTAAAAATACCACTGAAATTCTTTACAGAATTAGAAAGTGCAATCCTAAAATTCATGTGGAATCACAAAAGCCCCAGAATAGTCGAAGTAATCAAGAACAAGAAAAATCAAGCTGGAGGCAGCATAATACTTGACCTGCCAAGCATACTACAAAGCTGTGGTAATGAAAGCTGCACAATACTGGCATAAAAACTGATATGCTGATCCGTGAAATAGAAGAGAGAGCCTAGAAACTGATTCATATATAAATATGGCCAAATGATTTTTGAACAAAAGTGCTCAGACCATACAGTGAAAAAAGGATAATTTCTTCAACCAATGACACTGGCAAAAGTGGATGCATATATGTAAGAATGAAAAATAGATCCATACCACTCACCATATACAAAAGTCAAGATGAATCGAAGAACTAAATTCAAGACCTGCCTGAGACTAGGGCATTGCTGGAATGAAATATAGGGGAAACACTCCAAGACATTGGTAAATGGGACAACTTATTGGATAAGACCCCAAAAGCACAGGCAACAAAAGCAAAACTAAACAGATGGGACTATATCAAACTCAGAAGCCTTTGCACAGCAAAAGAAATAAGAGAATAAAGAGACATTCATTAGAATGGGAAAAATATTTGCAAACCACTTGTCTGACAAAGAATATCCTGAAGCTATCAGCAACATGAAAAACAACCAGTCCAGTTGAGAAATAGACTTCAAAGGAGAGTTCTCAAAAGAAATACAAATGGCAAAATATATGGAAAAAGTACTCAACATCACTAGCCATCACAAGAGTGCAAATGAAAACCTTATTGAGATAATACCTCACCCTTGTCAGATGGCTAAAATCCAAAACACAGAGAGTAACAAATGCTGACAAACCTGTTGACAAAGAGGAACACCTATACACTGCATCTGGGAATGTAAATTAGTGCAGCCACTTTGAAAACAATGTGGAGATTTCTTAAAAATTAGGAATAGACTTGCCTTATGACCAAGCAATCTTACTACATGGCATATACCCAAAAGTTTTGAATACTATGTACCAAAGAAATACCTATACCACCAAGTTTATAGCAGCATTGTCCACAATAACCAAAATTTGGATCCAACAAAAGTGTCCATCGTTGGATGAATGGATAAAGAAAATGTGGTATATATACTCCAAAAAATATTACTCAGAGATAAAAGAAATGTTTAACTCTACCACTTGAACCAAATGGATGCAACTGAATGATACCATGCTGTGTGAAATAAACTGGACCCAGAAAGACAAATATCACATGTTCTCCTTTACATCTGGGAGCTAAAATATAAAAAGAAAAGAAGAAATGTAAAGTAAGAAATGTCTGTGTGTATTAGTATTGCTGAAAATATAGCTTTGCAAAACTTTGTCAGACTAATGGTAACAATACTACACTACTATAGTTTTAATGTTCTGTGATTACTTCAAAATTTACTGTGTGTGGGTGACATGGTCATATTCTATCAATTATTGTTCATAGCCATTTTCTATATTCCTCCCTAAACTAGGGTTATTTGGCATTTTACTTGTTAAACTTCTTATTTGGCAAAGTATTAAATCTTTTTACCATAAATTTAAACTATGCTATCTCAAAAAAAAAAAAAAAAAAAAAGAGGGAGAAGGAAGGAGGAGGGATGGGAGGAAGAGAGGAAAGAATATCATTATGTTCTTAGACTTGTACTTACAAATCACATCAAATCTGTTAAAAACTAATTTAAAACTAAAAAAATGGAAAAATTATGTTAAAGGAATAAATCAACTTTATCACACATAATTATCAAATTCCACTTAAAAGTTTACAAAAAATAAATGTTTAGACACCTGTACGTACTTTCAGGAACTTTAACTGTACAGAGCTTTCCAATCACAAATACACAAAAACATCAAACTATTTTTCAGTTAGGGCTTTTTTTTTTTTTGCTTGACTGATGTCAATCTAGAAAATAGAGGTATAGAAATTCAGTGGATGAATTCATTTATTTGTCTAAAATGCTAGCCTTTTTCCCTTCCACATGCTAGAACAGTCATGAACATTTGATTGCTCCAACAATTTAGAACATCTGAGAGGAGGAAGAGTTCTGAAATCAAATTCTTTATAATACTTTTTGAAAATAAAGCATTAAATGTATTCTGCTTG